CCCCAAAACCCCAAAACCCCAAAACCCCAAAACCCCAGGATAAAGATGTGTTATTGAATTGATTATGACTGCTTGTTAATTTTATTATTAAAACTTAATATTAATCGAACTTATATGGATAGACTTTATCAAATTCAATGACTGATCTTTGCTCATCTGTCTCTTCATCATAAATATTCTCAATACTTTTATAGAGTTTATTTCTATGGGATCAACTAAGAATTTACTCGAATAAATTGTTTATTTCAATCCCATCATGCCATTCAGAACGCTCTGTGTTGTAGATATTCTTCCTGTCGGGATCAGGGGATGACTTTTGATCTACAAATTTTGATTCAAAATTACCATAATTATTCAAACTTTTCCTCAGATTCTTCCTTTTGTATCTATCATTAGCCAGCTCAAAGTTGATCAACTCTCCTTGAACAATTGGGCAGATAACTTCTTCCTCAGAGACTGAGGAGACACTTTTAACTGTGTTTATAAGAATTTTCTCTTGTAGCTCAAATATTTTAGCTATTTATTAGTTATAACTAGCTTACCTTTATTGGACTCAAGAGCTGTATTTACTACACTTGTGAATCTGTCTATTCTTTCAGAACACATTGCAGATATTCTTTCACTCTCCATTGGAGTTTTCTGGTTCATTTTAGATAAATTTAGGTTCCTAATAGGGATGCTCACCTCTTCACAAGAATGCTTATTTATCAAAATAATGATATTTGCGAGACTCAAGCTTTTGGTTTAGTGCAAAAAGCTCATGCTTTCTCCTTTCTTCAAATAAATAGTCTATATATCTGAACCTTGCAAGAGCCCATTTGAGCTTTTTATTTATGCTAAAATGTTAGAAAATTACGCTACTTTTAAGTTAGTGATAGGGTGAATCAAGATTCTTTCCTTTTTCCTAAAAGAATTACTGTTAGCAGCAAGGAGATGAAGCTTCTTGTTTGAAATCTGAGGTGAGAGAAATCCCTTATTTCCTCTTCAGCTTTTGAGGAGACATTGGGATACTCCCGATTCTTTTAAAACTGTGGTTGAATTTCTTTTTCGGTTTGATCAAACTAATCTCTCTTGCTTTCTTTTCATGTTTAACGTTGATATCAAAATAATCGTAGTCATATTTCCTCCCTTGGGGTGCAAATTCATGAAGGATAGTATCAATAGTATCTTTAAGAAAAATGTCGCTCTTTGATTCCTCTATCATTCCTTCTCGAGTTATTTCTCCGAGAGTGAGGCCTTGTCCCGCTGAGACTTCAAACAAAGAATGTTGCTTAAGCATGCAGTTGACAAGGTTAAATCAAGATCCTTTTGGAAGGGTCTGGAAGTGCCTTCTAGAATTATTTTCTGGATTAACACAATAAATATCCACAGATCCTTCTATGATGAACCAGAATTTAGGAACGTTTTGCTTGAAAATGACTATATTCTCTCACCTGGGTTGAACTTGATGTGCTTGCAGAGGAATATTATCCTCCGCTTAGAATCATAAGGGAGGTAATAGAACTGGTCTATATGCTTCACCATTTTATGCATCTGTTTGAAGTAAAAATCGTTGTAGTTAAAAATATTTTTCTTTATCTTTCTCTTTCAGTCAGGACAGTTGTCCAAGAACTCATTAAACTTCTCCCTTCTGAGCTTGAAGCAAATGGAGGTTGAGATCACATGAATGCTTGCCGTTGGAGGGAGTCTTGTTAGCAATGATATCTCACCGAAGTATTGTCCTCAAGAGAGTTCATTGATCACTTTGTGTTCAGCCCTTTGCTTAGACTTTATGGTTTTTATTTCACTAAAGAGGTGGTAAGAAACTTACCTTATTCTTGAGAAACTACATTCTCTTTTGATAGTCGGGCTTCTTAGTAAATTATCAAGAGTAGCAGCATTCCGTGTTTTTGCCGTTTTGAATTGAACAGTGCTTCTTTTCTTAAACCTGTTCATGGCCATTGAGTTGTAATGAGAGAAGGAATCTTCATACATTTTATCTGAATTTCTTTTTACTAATGATAGTTCTGAGATAATTGATCCGTCTGGAAGATCACTGACCTCATCTAGCTCATTGGTAGACTTGTTCATATTAAATGCATAAGTTGTCCGCCTTTTGAAAGGTTGAGAAGTGCTCGGATTGTTATCTGATAAGGAATTCTCCTCAAATATCTCTTCTGATTTGACTTCTTTTTGCTCTCTTTTCTTTTTAGTTTCAAATGTAGCTTGAACTTCTTTATAGTCAAAGAACATGAAATCGCAGCTGTGTTGGACTACTTCAAGAAGCCCTTGATGGAGAAAGTAGAAATCATTGTTAAAGTATCCTTGCTTGATGATAATGTCATCTGGAAGATAGAAACTATGCTCAAGGTTTCGTCAAAACTTCTCAAGTTCTTTCTTATTCTTTCTGTTTATAAAAGACAGTTTATGTAAAGTATTTTTTATCTGGTAATTTTTGATAGTTTCAGCATCCGTTGAGGAAAGGTAGTTAAAGAACTCATTAGACCAGATGAGCTTCGATTCAATTGTTTCATCATAATAATCTAAGACTCTTCTTTGTAAATGTTCAGGGATTTTAATATTCATCATTACGGTGCTGATGACATCCTCTTGTTCATTTAGCTTTGTATTTTTATTTAGTCATGACTGAAATTAAATTTGTGAATTCTCCGATAATAGCTCCGATGAAAACTGTGCCAAGAAGGAACATAAACTCGGCTATTAAAATTTCAACATAGTTTGTTGGCAATAGTTCGTTTCCAGCAATAGTAAGGATAGCATAATAAGCATATATAATATATCGATCTTGATTTGACCCTGTATATGCTTTCGTATTTCGAAAATCAAGATCTTTTGGAGGGAACCATTCCTCTTCACTTCTAGTGATGACTGCCCACAGTCAGGAAAGCCAATGCATTGTCAGGAAAATGAAGAACAATAACTGTCCAATCTTCATACTATATTGAAGCTTTTGGTTTTGTCGCAGAAAGCTTATCATTCTTCCAAGTCTTAACAGTCTTGCGAGCTTTACCATACTGATAAATCGAAGGTTTTGCTCAGATGTTGGGATTATCAATGTACTTAATTCTAGAGGGAGAGAAGCAAGTAGATCAATTGGGAACCTCCCAAATACGATATATTTTATAGCAATTATCTTCCCATCAGTAACTAATTTACCAGTTTTAGAATTTACATAAGCGGTCCTGAAATGAATCAAAATGTCTACCATAAAGGCTACATCAGTAAATCGGTTGAATATCTCAATGATGACATCAGCATGGATAGTATATGCAAATTGGTAAGGAATCAAGATAGCATTGTACACTGATAAGACAATAATTATCAAATCCCAAGTAATTTTAAATCTGGAGTTTGGAAAAATTAATCATAGAAATGGACTCTCCTTTGGTTTCCTATAAGTCATTTGTTAAACAAGGCATAGATAGAAAAAATCGTATCAAAAGTTAGCAGTAGCAATCTAAAAATTCTTGTTAAAAGTCAAAGTTTTATGGATTGTTAAACTTATCGATGTAGCCTTTAGACTTTATATACACTCCAAATTCTTCTTCTTTATACCCCACTCTTTGTTCCCAAAACCCTCTTCTGACTAGTACTTCCACGCCTTGTACAAAGCAAGGCGATGCCAAGCTGTGCCTTGCCTGGAAGTTTGGTTTCTTAAGGAGGAGGATTAGGAAGGAGGAAGGACTAGGATTGGGTTTTGGGGGCGTTTAAGTTGGGATGAGGAGCATGGGGTGGTGGGGAGGAAAGAAGGGGTTAGGAGGTACTATCTCTTTATCTTCAACACCCCTCTTCTTTCACTCCCATGTTCTAATACTTACTCATTCTCTTCTTCCATATTTATAATTTCCAGATTAAATTTTGAATGAACACCCTGGGGTTTTGGGGTTTTGGGGTTTTGGGGTTTTGGGG